CTCGCTGCGCTTCCACAGAGCATCATCAGGCACGCATTGGCAGAGAAGTGATAAAATGACTAGATTAAATATTGAAAACATTTTGAAGCTTTAGTTTCTGGGCAAAATGGCAAAATGGTAACCGGAATGTTGGCCACACAAGCTGCTAGCTGTTGGAGCTCACTAAGGTCGTCCTCTCTCCCAAACAAGACGATACTTTGCAAAGCTGGGCAGCATTGCACAAACTTATCAAGCAAGACACGAAATTGTAAAGGTCCGCCCCGGGACGCGTCTAAACAAACCCTCCTTAGCCTCGGAAGTTCTTGAATCGTACTTGGAAAACCCCTGCCACATTCACAATATGTTTCAAAACAGTCAAGGAGGCTCAACTCCTGGCACTCTTTAAACTGTTCCAACACGAACACCTTCCATGCCACGTCATGAGGACAAGATCGGTCAAAGAGTGAGCTGCAGTTCAACGTCACAGTTTTGAAATGAATCTTCTCTACAGAGGCAATCGTTGTCTCGAACGCACCCAATCTCAACTTCAGAGTCTCCAACGCGTTACATACAATCTCAAGCTCCCCGGGCACTGCCATCTTCTCCACAAGCTTCCCACAATTGCCAAGCGAGAGGCTCTTCAGACGTGGAGCTCTCATCTTGAGCTTCTCGCAGTCACCGATCCATGCAGTCTCTAGATTGGGAAGATCCAACTCGACAGTGCTGTTACGGTATTTTGTTTCAAGGTTTAACACTCTCAAGCTTGACGATGATAGGGAGCCGGGGAAGTAATACACGAATGCCGAGAGCTCTTCCAGCACCGGACACGAAGGCAGAAGCTCTGTTGCGAGGTCTAGACCAGTCACCCTGTTTAAGCTGCAATGCGTGAGAGCCGGAAACGTAAGGCGTAACGGAGCCTTAAGCTTCAACTCCTCGCCCCTGGCCTTAATGTGAAGCCTGTAAAAGCTGACAAACTTCAGCTTGGGACACACCTTGGAGACCAGCTCTAGATCAAAGTCAAAACTGTTCAGGTACTCCACACCTTCAATGGTGAGCTTCTCTAGAGTGGTGGCAATGCTTGTGATCCATGAGTAGTTCTCGTGTAAGAAGTAATGGTATTCGTGAATGAGGAGCTGTCGGATGGATTGCTGCGCCAGCTTGAAAACCCTACCCTCCGGTGGTGGCTTATCCTCATACAAGTCATGAAGATCGATTATTACGAGACCAAGCTCTTTGCCAATTCTGTGCCACCTCTTGCTTACCAAAAGGTACATGACGTTGTACTTTATGAAAGTTACCTTGTCGAGGATGAGCGCTAGAACAGCGTCTGGCAGGCTGTCAATGGTGGTGCAAGCGCTTGCCATAAGGATTAGAACACTTTAGAATTTAGGGTTCTTGCTCGAGGCGCCCTAACCTTAAATCGCAGCTCGATCTCTTCTAAGAGGGCGATCGAAATGCATTAGATCGTTTTCATTCCCGCGAGAGTAGCCAAAAATCTCAGCAAGAAGCTCCAAGGTTCTTGCTCTATGATCCATGCAACATAAAGGCAGAGCGAGCGCCAGAAGCGGAGGTGAATTCTCCCTGATACCAATCAAGATCTAAGCTACAACCAAGAACTACGTCTTGGACGCTCACGTCTTCCTTCACGCGCCCCGGCACAGTCACGCTTTTCAAAGGCAAGGCTCTTCACTTCCAGAGACCAACGTTGTCGAGGCCGAAGGTTCTTCTCATGGCTTGCAAGGCCTGGCACATTTTTTTCCGCTTGATCGAGGGGTGTTGATCACTGACTACGAGTGCAAGCACGAGTTTCTCTACGATTGGATCATCAAAGGCTCTTTTCGAGTCTCAATTGGAGCTCTAGCAGTGCCGAACAACGTTTCTTCTGCCTCATCGATCATAGGAAATGGCCGTGGCCTCCAAGGTTGGCATCTATCAGTGCCTTCCATCTCCAGCAAGGCCAAAGTATCAAGCCTGGAGCGTTCGTCCGCGATTGTGAAGCCGCTGTCGGATGATTTCCCACAGATGGAATGGATAAGCTAGATTTGTGTGATGCGTCAAGCCTCGAATGGGAGCAAAGCTGGGAGGCCTTGTTCGATTCGGCAGCTGGAGAAGAAGTTGCGAAGACGAGAGAAAAGTTTGCCAGCAGCAACCAGCTACAGGAGGTTGTGTTTTGGAGGCTTCTCTTTTCCAGGAGCGTTGGGAGATATGGGACGGCCCATCGCCACAGCAAGTTTGCAGCGTCAAGTCTGGAAATCCATGGCCAAAATCATCACCACCAAGCTCTTCAGATTTTATTATTAGCGACAACCGTGGACAATTAGCAGGTGGGACATCTTGTTTGAAGTTCTTTTGTCGCCTCACGCATTCCTTGGCTGTTGGGAGTCCCAGAATGTTGGAGCATCTTGCGGATGAATCTCGCGTCTCAAATCTCTTCATGGCTCTTTTCGCGACGTTACTACGGAAGGAGATGTTGGTCTGGTGGACATTACTGGGAGTTGCTGCCGGAGTTGGAGTTGGAGCTTCCCTCTACAATTCAAACTGCTCCAGTCTAACAATCGATCTCATAGGTATGCTTCCAAATTTCTATGATCAGAAACTAAAGGAATGCGTTGCAGGCTATCCCGGAGAGCTGTATCTTCGAGCATTGCAGCAGCTCGTCTTACCCTTGGTAGTATCTTCACTTATGAGTGGAGTCTTTAGTTTGAGGCAGGCAGGGGGAGGGTAAGTTTCTGCTCTTCTTTTTTTCGCTCGGAAAAATGAGGTTTTTAGATCTGTGCAGGCTAGGTGGTCTCTTCTTTACTATATTTTGTCCATGCTACTGGCCGTGCTACTTGGATTGTTGCTTTTGCAACTGTTTTTGCCTTCTGCTGCAACACTGTTGGTACGCTTTTGCATTTCTGCCTTGAGACTTCATACCTGTTGTGCTTTCTTTCTAGGCGAGCGCACGTATCCACTAGTGACGCTTGTCGAGCTTTGCAACAGCGTTGTCATAAAAATTGTAAGCCAGAACTTTCTCAAGCTCTAATCCGCTCACACACTTTTCTTGTCAGATCTTAGGTGTTATAGCGTTTAGTCCCTTTGGAGTTGCCTCGTTAGCATGCAAGACACTCTTGAAAGCCTGCAATGTGTTCCATCTGTTGAAGGCCCTTGGAGTGGACGTGGGGACTGTAATAGGAGGATTTTTATTACACTCGCTGGTGGTTCTTCCTCTCACAGTGGTGCTACTGTCACAGAAAAATCCTTTCAAGCTCCTCAAGTAAGCATACAAGCTTTTCGTTTCCTTCTCACCTACAACTATGTTTGACAGGGATTTTGCTCCAGCTCTGCAACAATGCCTTTGCTGACAATGAATGTGCTGAGGCTTCCGGATGTGATCCCAGTCTCGTGAGTTTTGTGATACCTTTGGGAACGAACATCAATCGCGACGGGTCAGCTCTATATGAAGCAGTATCAGTGTTTTTTATTTGTCAGGTGTGCTTTGAGTCGCTATTTTTCATTGGCAATCTTTTGTGCTCTCATACAGGCTCATGGTCTGGAGCTAAATCTCAACAAGCTCTTTGTTTTAGCGATAGCTTCGACCTTAGCAGCTATCGGGTGTGCCTCCGTTCCACAAGCTGGAGTGATCACTGTGATCACTGCATTGCGGGCGAGTGTTCCTTCTAAAGGAAAAAAATTGTGTCTTTACATTATTCTTTTATGTTTCCAGGCGGTTGGTTTCTCAAGATATGTTGGTGATGTCTCAGTACTCCTCGCCGTAGACTGGCTCCTGGGATCCATTCGAACTTCCGTGAACATCTGGGAGATGGCTGTGCTTGCTTGATCGTTAACAAACGTTGCCAACTTCTTCAAGAGGCGATTCTTCCGGCTTCAGTACGTAGTCTCTGTTTTCTGTTTACCATCTGCGGTATCTAATCTTGTCGGTTGACGCAGGACGATGCCGAGATCACAGAGCCACTTCTTCCGAAAGATTCAACTGATTCGTGCTGAAAAGGAGCCAGCTTCTGTGAAGATCTCGTTGCTATCACAGGCGTTTACGCATGAGGTGCTTCCTGCGTTGTAGCACGAGCAAGGAGAAGACGCTGCTTGTAGAGACCACCTCGTATCCAGCTCGCTGGTAAATTCCCAGGGGAACTTTGTCGATCAAGCGGCAGTGAAGGTACATTTCGTTGGAACCCATTGTCACAGCCAGCTCCTCGGCAGCCTTGAGAAGTTGCCCAGCTATGCCTTTCCTGTACACACGAAGAACAAACTTAGGATGGAGAAAGAAAAATGGAATTTTTTCCACCTTCTATAGTTCTGCTTGACGGCCATGTTGCAAAGAAATGGAGCGTCGGGAGGAGGATTGGGACTCGAGACACCAGCACTGCTCAAATAAACCTCTACCGTACCAACCACAACCTTGGCGGAACTTTGCTCGTACAAGGCCACGAGAATCACATTCTTGGGGAAGAGCTTCTGGGTCTCGATCAAATTCTCTTGCACGATCATCCGGAGGAGCGGCCTGTAAGTGAGAGGACCCCAGAGAAGATCGCAGAAGGAATCCGTGAGAACTTCCACTGTACCTTTCGAGTGCTTGGGCTTGAGCACTTCCACCGAGACTAGAGACCCATCCTTGCAGCTACCGGAATAGGAGAACGCATTGAGCTGCGCAGCCATGGCATCGTCATCATCCTTGCTAGAATCCAGCGCCTTATCTTCCAATCTCCCATCCGCGACCCTAGATGCCGCACGGCCACACCGGCGATGACGATTTCCAGCAAATGGCCTTGCGCCATCGCTGTTGAGACACACGAACCCTAGCCCTAGAGAGGAATTGCGGCCATGAGTGGGAGGATCCGTGTGTAGCCACACACAAAACACTGGCCATCGCAAGCTAAACGCCATTGGCTATGGCGCATCTGGATAGAGAACTCTAGAAGCTCATTTTTAAACTAGTTTCCCGCCTTTACAATTTAAAATTATTTTTTCCCGCTCGAGGGTGTTTAGTATAAACCTTGTTTTAACAAAGGGTTTGACGGGAATCAAATGTGGCCCATCTCGCGGAGGAGGAGCTAGTCTCATGCGCCATGCCGGCCTGATTCGATTCGAGGTAGGGTTTTGCTGCCCCAGCGCTGGAGCGCATCACACTCCCCGATCTTGCCCCAAGGTTGTGGATACAGTGATCGATCCTTCGCATTCCTGTTGCTTTTCTTCTTTTTTTCTGGTTTCCCATCAGTGATTGTTCGCTGCTTGCTTTGGCTCGAGAGATTCTTCTTTGACTTTCCCTGTTTGGGACTGAATTGTTGCTTCTGTAGTTGCGGCAACAGTTCATCATCGCAATCCCTGATCGATCTCATGATCGGATTCATTGGCGGAGGACATAAGAGATGCTTCCTCATAAACAATGGAAATTCTTTGCGGCTTTGGTGATTTCTGGCCTTGTGCTACTACAAGCAGGACCGGTGGTCAGCTCGGATCAAGGTAGGAGTAAATCGGGAATTCGGCAGTACTGTTGTAATTCGACTCCTTGTTGCAGAGGTTACTGCTCTTGCCTCTTGGAAGGAAAGCGTGGCCACTTCTTCTTCGAATGGGAACAAATTGGCTACAAGAGAAACGAAGGTTTGCTCTAGAATGAACATAACCGGCCAGAGATTCATCGTCCGCGGAGTTTTCAGACGTGACAAGATTGCCAAACAGCCGCCAGCATTAGACATCTCGATCAACTCAAAACTACTCCGCAACGTCGACACGTCCAAGGATCTTGTCATCCAGGTTCCTCTTGATCCCGCTAACAGCACTCTACTTCTTTACTGTTTGATGCCAGCTCCAAGCGGCCTCGTGACAACCATGCCGACTCTGGAACTGTTTCTCGCTCCAAAATTCACTTACAGCCGGTAAGCTTCATGTCTCCGAGTTTTCAGACGTCAAGGGGCCTCAGGTTTTCTTCCAGAAAGCTGCTTGAAAGACCACACCAAAGTCCTTTATCCATGCTTGGACTTATGAGCACGGTCCTGATATCTTTGACATCGCTGACTATGGTCACGGCACTTTGTATCACTAAGCTGTTTCGAGCACTGAGGGGAACCCCGCCAGTGGAGCCTCAGTCTTCTCCGAGAATTTGTAAGTGTTTTTCGTCCCATGTCCCATAAAATGGATTCTCATATCACTTTACAGATCAAAGGAGCATGGAGCTGAAAGTAAACAAAGAACCAATCGCCATTAAGCAGTACATGCTGAAAGAACTGGAAGAAGCAATCGGGATTAAGATAGCTGAAGGTGGATTTGGATATGTGTACCGTGGGACGCTGATTAACAGACAGGAGGTGGCGATCAAAGTGCGATCATCAACTTCATCACAAGGCCTACGTGAGTTCACTGCTGAGGTAAGCTGCGAGTTGGATGAAGTTAAACACGTTTGCTGATTTTGGAGCTTGTGACAGCTTACGCTCTTATCCAAGATTAGACACCCGAATCTGGTTCCTTTGCTTGGCTACTGCACGGAAGGCCAACACGAAATGCTCGTCTATCCTTACATGTCAAATGGTACTTTACAAGACCGACTTTATGGCGAGGCAGCAACAAGAAAGCCGCTCGATTGGCAAACCAGATTATCTATCGCGATAGGAGCTGCTCGAGGTAGAGTATATTTCAGTTTGTTTGGAGACTGATCATCCGACCATTGCAGGGTTGAACTTTTTGCATACGAGTGGCCCGCGTCCCATCATTCACAGAGATGTAAAATCGAGTAACATTCTCCTCGACGACAGCATGAACGCAAGAGTCGCGGACTTCGGTTTCTCGCGATTTGCACCTCAGGAAGACGACAGCCTCGTCTCGGTTGAAGTTCGAGGAACGACTGGTTATCTTGATCCAGAGTAAGTCACCATCCTCCGTGATAACCTGAGTCGCCATGTATTTTTTGCTTGCAGGTACTACATGACACAGGTGCTCACTACCAAGAGCGACGTCTTTAGTTTTGGCGTCGTATTGTTGGAGATCGTATGTGGTCGCGAGCCTCTGAACTTACGCCGTCCCCGTTCAGAGGCCAGTTTGGTTGACTGGGTGAGTTTTCGTTTAACTTGTTGCTAGACAAGGCATTGAATTTCTACTGTGTTTGTTGCAGGCCAGGAAGTCCATAAGCGAAGCTAACATTCAATCGATCATCGATCCGAGCATCAGCGCTAGCTACACACCGGAGGCAATGTGGAGAGTAGTGGAGGTGGCTTATGCAAGCGTGGAGACCTGCTCAGCACGTAGACCGGACATGGCTGGTGTCGTGAAGGAGCTCGACGACGCTCTTATAATCGAGAACAACGCGTCCCAGTACATGCTTTCAATGGATAGTATCGGATCATTCCGGAGGTCGTCAAGCATCAAAGCTTTTCCGGTGCCGTTTGATCCTTCTCCTGCGTTCTCGGAAACGTTGGACTCCCCGCATCCCCGATAGACTTAATTACCGGTAACTTTGATTTTCTAGCTTCAACTTGTGCTAATGCCTGCGGGCGTGCAACATTCTTTACTAGCTTGTATACATTGATCACGACGAGGTGGAAGACAAGAAAAGTAAAAAGACGAGCAAAGCAGCAGCTATAAGTTATCGAGGATATGGACCACGGCGCGAATCAAGTTCTTCGAGACCGTGTAGAGCGAAAGTCCCAGCAGCTTTCCAAGAGCAACGAGAATGCCAAGTGTGTTGTCAAGAGCCGTGTGGACGTCACCAATGAACTCGCGGACAGCTCGAGCTAGAAACGAGACAAGCAGCCTCCAGATCTCGACAACCAACACGAGCAGCACAGATGAGATCCGGACGAGGACGGCGAGCAGCGCATCAAGCAACGCATCGAAAAAGATCTCCATTGCACGAATCAAGAGCTTGGCTGCTCGCAGGACGATCGTGACCAAGCCCCTCAAGAGATGGATCGCAGCTAGCAGGACGATGGAGAGCGACTGGAGGAGCAAGCTGCTGACCAAGTCGACGATGGATACCAGCGCTCCAACGACGAGATCTGCCACGAAACCCATCGCAGCATTGCTGATCTCTGGCTAGAAACATCGCAAGGAGCAAGCAAGAGAGCGATTGATCCCGCGGAAGTTCTTCTTTTAAACTTCGGCAATGATGCACGAAGAGAGAACTTGGCTTCGAAGAAACAACCAAAGAGAAAAACTATACTAAGTATAAACACTCCCAGTACCCTGATCGAAGGAGAAAATTCTTCTACTCGTAGCTTCATAGAAAAAGACGCGGTCAAACGTTTTATTACCATGAAGTTTTTTACTTACATTTTAACCTGGATTATGCCTCGCCAGGTGGCGGGCCATCTCACCGTTAATCATGCGCGACCGTACTGACCGCATTCATTTCGCTCGACATCGCATCGACGGCTGAGAAGGCAGCCCGGCTGACAATCGGTGGTCAGTAGCCACATGCGTCCGTACGCCATGGGAAACGTCCACCCCCTCTGATCGATTGCGCGAGAGTTTCTTTATCTCTTTGTTTCGCTAGGCTATGGCGCCATGGCGCCCCGCCGCGGCGGCATCGCGCGCCTCGGGCTAAAATCTTAGATCCACGCCGCGGCATTCCAATCGCGAGCTCCAGCAAGGGTTTCCAGGGATTTGAGGTATGGTATTTTAATGCGTTTTCTTTGTTTTTCTCTAGTGGATCGCGCGCGCTCACTAGTGGAAATCTTGCTAGCAATGGTGATGGAGGACGAGGTGATCCTCACGGATGTGTCGGATTCCATGCACATGCTGCTGCTGGCTCGAGAGAGCGTGAAATTCCAGCGATCCAGCGTCCATAGCCTGCTCGCTCGCATCAAGATGCTCAAGCCCGCCATTGATTACCTCCGTGAAGTGAAGATTCCGCTGCCCAAGCCCGCGTTAGCGCCATTCCAATCGCTCAACAGCGTTCTTCTCAGGGCCAGGGACGCGGTGGAGGAATGCAGCGTTGGAAGGAGCAAGATTTTCCTGGTAAGTTGCGAGTGTGAGAAAGAGCGTGGGAGTTTCTTTTTCTTCTTCTTCTTTTCTAATGCGCTTTTGTGTAGATGTATCGCTGTCACGAGATCGTCGTTGGGTTTCAAGAAATCGCTGGCGATATGTGTCGGGTCATCGAAACCATCCCTCTATCTTCTATGTATATTTCTAGTCACACAAGATCACAGGTAATTCATGAGAGCCTTGCTCCTCCTTGCGTTTGTTTCTGAGCCCCTCGTCGTCTTCAGTGCAGATCGAGCACTGTCACCAGGAGCTACGGAGATTAAAGTTCACGATCAATGCCCGTGACTCTCAGCTGGCGGACGAGATTGCCATCCTTCTCAAAGACTTTGGCCGCTCCCAGGTGAATCCAGCGCAGCTCAAAAGGTTTCTCGAGGAGATGGAGTTGGGGTCCTTAGAAACCATTGCCAAGGAGAAGGCCGCTTTGGAAAAAGAGAGGGAGTCAAGGGAAGATGGCGCTGCTGCTGTCATCGACAAGCTTACATCGCTGCTGAGTATGACCACCCAAGATCCTGCTCCAGAGAAAGTGGATAGCGTCCAGCAGCAAAACATTCCGATCCCTGCCGACTTTTGCTGTCCACTATCGCAGCAGCTAATGTCGGATCCTGTCATCGTGGCTTCCGGACAGACCTATGAACGAGCTTACATTCAACAGTGGGTGGATCGAGGAAACAGGACTTGTCCCAAGACGCAGCAAGTGATCTCTCACACCAACTTGATCCCGAACTACACCGTCAAGGCGCTCATCGCAAACTGGTGTGAGATGCACAACGTGCCACTCCCCGAGCCCCCGAAAGTTGACGAGCTGGGGGAGCTCATCACTCCTTCCAAGCCTCCTCCGCAGCTGCTAGAGCAGGACGTGTCGTCGGGCACCAAAGGCAGTGGAGTGGAGGCCGAGTCGCTGCCAGTGTCCTCGTCCGAGATGGTGGACGGGAACCACGATCCTGAGCAAGGTGGCGGCGAGGAGCCTGACATGAGATCCTTCTTGGTAGGCATCCAGCACAAGCCGTCCGGTTCCAGCAGAGGTGCTGCTTCTCCTGGGAGTCGACGTCGCTTCAGCGGCGAGCTCTCCGGAGACGCAGCCTCGGACAGTCTCGAGGAGAAGTCACCCAGGTTTCTCTACAGGAACAGGAAGGAGAGGTCGAGGTTGAAACTTGGTGGTAACAGCGAGAAGCTCTTCGACATCATTGGCAACGACGAGAACAAGGAGAGCAAGATAAGGAGTCTGATCCAGGACTTGGACGCGCCATCTCTGGACCTGCAAAGGACGGCTGCGGCGGAGCTGAGACTCCTCGCCAAGAACAACGCCGAGGACAGGATCCGGATAGCCAACGCTGGCGCCATCAAACCGCTGGTGGCACTGCTGAGCTCCGCGGATCCAAAAGTCCAGGAGGACTCGGTCACGTCGCTGCTCAACCTGTCACTCAACGACGGCAACAAGCACGACATTGTGGACTCGGGCGCCATCCCGCCTCTCATCAGCGTCCTCTCGGAAGGAAACCCGGAAGCCAGGCAAAACGCGGCAGCCACGCTGTTTAGCCTTTCGGTGAAGCAGGAATACACGGCACTCATCGGCGCTTCTGGCGCCATCCCGCCGCTGGTCGAGTTACTCAAGTCCGGAACTCCTCGCGGGAAGAAGGATGCGGCAACCGCGCTCTTCAACCTCTCGATATGCCACGACAACAAGAACAAGGTGGTCAAGGCCGGAGCCGTTAAGCCTCTCATCGACCTCATCTGCGAGCCGAGGCTGGGGATGGTGGACAAGGCCGTGGCGGTGGTGACCAACTTGTCCACGGTGTCGGAGGGACGCAGCGCCATTGCCGAGGACGGAGGAATTCCAGCTCTGGTGGAAGTCGTGGAAGCCGGGTCCCAGCGCGGGAAGGAGCATGCGGCTGCCGCGTTGCTGACGCTTTGCTCCAACAGTCCCAGGCACCGAGCCATGATTTTCAACGAGGGTGTCACTCCGATGCTACACATTTTGTCACAGACTGGGACCGCGCGAGGAAAAGAGAAGGTATGGAACGTCCAAATATGTCAAGGCACAGGCAGCGACTGACTCGGACTTGCATCCTCTTTTCGTTTCGTGCCAGGCCTCCGCTTTGCTACGGATCTTCAGAGAGCAACGCAATGGGAATGTGCCGAGATCTCATCACCAGCAGCAACATCATCAACAACATCAGCGAGAGGTCCACGCTTCTCCTGCTGCTGCAAGTCCTCGCTACTAGCTAGCATACTTATCAGGTACATCGGACTTTGCTTCTTCCATTAAAAGTGTGTTTTTTTTCTCTCGTATATACAAATTGTTTTGGTAATCTCCGCTTCTCTGTGCGTTTACAGACACGAAAAATGAGAAAAATTAAGAATCTATTGTTCTAGAGCCCTCCTTGTTTTAGAGCCCTCTTTCTTCCTCCTTCGATATAAAGGTAGTATTAAGAGTTTCTTCCTTGGCCGACACCATCTTTTCACGCATTGTTATATAGGTGGTGGAGGTGGTGATGGTGGTGTGGGTGGTGGTGGTGAGAATAAGATGGAGGATTATAGTAGCGTGGTCCGCAGAAGTGGGCTTGGGCTTCGTTGATGGAGTAGCCAGTACGCACAGGGGAGTGATGGTGGTAGGGACTCAGGGATCGCTGTGCAACAGGATGCCGCGGGGGGAGCATCGATGACGCAGAAGATGATGGCTCCGCAGCGCAGCAGTGACAGGGAGGCTTGATCCCGCGGCTTGCTTCGCTGCTGGTGAATCCATCAACGAATTGATAGTGATGGGGGTGGAGCTGGCCGCTGGATGGAACATCCTGGTTGTAGAACATACCTCCTCGTCGTTCGCTGTGATTGTTCTCCGGCTCCACCGGGGAGTGGTGCTGATCTTGGGCCTGGTGCTTGCGCTGGTACGCCTTGAGCGACCCAAACTCGTGATCCCGCAACTGCTGCGCAGCGCCCATCTTGGATTTGCGAGGTGGATGGTGGTGATACGAGGAGGAATTGGTCGCGAGGAGTGGCGGCGAGGCCGCAAACTTTGACCCCGAGCTTGTGGAGCTTGGATCCATGACGGATTCGTCGGACGAGTACTCGAGCACTGCCGATGGATCGAACAATGGCGACTTGGAAGGGCCGTGAGGATCGAACAAAAACACCCTCAGCTTCACCGCAGCTCCATCGGAAGATCGGTCTCGACTCACCATCTTGTCAAACTCGTCCATCATGTTCTTGACGTCCTCGTCCGAGGTGACCGACACGAGCGCGTCCAGATCTTCATTAGGCAGCTGGTACTTGAGAAGAACACTCTTCCCGGCAAGGTGTGAGAGCTTCGCCATGAGATCCTTGTACGCAATCTCCTTCTTCAGCACCAGAATGCGGGTCTCTCCACCCATGTAACGCAGCTGGTTGTCGTGAGGCCGGGGCAAGATCCGGCCGCCATAGCTGCACATCATCTTCACCCTCTTCTTGCTCGAGATAGATCGCGCTTGATCCAATCCCGACACGATCTCCTCCTCCTCCGCCAGCGAGCTGATGCTAGAAGACCCTTCATCCCCTCCAGACAAGGAATCCAGCGATAACGCACTCTCGTTCACCGTGATACCGCTAGAAGCACCATCCTCGATAGCACACATCTTCGAGATCCAACTTTATTCCTCCCTTCTACGAAGAACAAGGGATTGAAAGCTTCAGAGCTTGACAAAGAGGAGAAAAGCCAAAAGCTATGGAAGAAGAAAGGCTTGATCTCGAGCCTCTGACTCCTCCTCTTTTCCATCCCCACAATTCCAAGTGCCTCCCTTTTTGTTGTGTGGAATATACACACCCACTGGAATATCCTGCGAGTTAACGTGTTGGTCTCTAATTTGCCGCTCCCAGGAATACAAGAAATCATACTTGGCCAACTTTACGTTCCCTCTCAAACAAGAATTCTCCCTGTGGCTCCGTGTTTGTCAATGTAACTTTAGAGCCGCCACCTCTGGTGCCACTCGTCAGCCCTCGAAAACAAACAAACATTGGCACTACGCTCCAATCTTTGAGATTTACGTATGCTGAATCTGTATGCCATGGGGTACAATGATACAAACCAGAAAGTGCCACCACGTTAGCATAGAGGCCAATAATTCACAATGTGCACACGTAACTTGCGCATGGCAGGGTGGCGCAAGCCAAAGACAAACATATGGACCCCTTGGCTGATAGGCGCGTGGGGCATTCCCAGTAAACAAATGGGTTACGTTAAGTTCTAGGGTTTGCAACTTGCTTTGGTCCAATCTTATCCATCTCTGGATGGAATGTATCGCAATCTCTCATGGCTGCGGCACGATCTCCCAGATGATCAAACGGTAAACATGGAGATCATAGCTATCTAGCTATGTACAAAAATCTTTAGCTCTTTTCTCCTCCCTGCATGGATGGATCGAGCCAAGTTCTCTGTGGACGCGAGCTTGGGTCCCATCTTGGATCATGGATCCCAAGTTGCAGGAGGGAGTGGATCCAGCTCATGGCAAATTGCCAATGCTTGTCACTGGCGGAGGAGATTGGCTCCAGGGTGAGGGGATCTCTCTGCCGAGATGATGTTTTCATGCTCAACAAGCTCATCGAGATGTATGGGCGATTGGGTGGGGTCGAGCAATGCCGCCGGGTGTTCGACTCCATCCGGATCAAGGACTGCTTCTCTTGGGTGCTCATGCTCTGTGCGCTTGCCCAGAGCGGGTACTTGCGGCAGGCTTACAAGGTTTTCCACGACATGCCTGCTAGAAACCTCGTTGCTTGGAATGCGATTCTCGCTGCCTTTACCCAGAAGGGCCATCTCGATTGCGCTCGTAGAATCTTCAAAGAAATGCCGGAGAGAAGCCTGGTCTCTTGGACAGCGATGGTTTCTGTAAATGCCCAGTGTGGGTATCTTGCAGACGCGCAAAACATCTTTGATGAAATGCCTGAACACGATGGTGTGAGTTGGAATGCACTGCTGGCCGCGGCCGCGCAAGAAAGCAACGTAGAGCAGGCATGGCAGATTTTTAACCGCATGCCTCACCACGGCTTGGTGGCGTGTACCGTCATGCTTGCAGCACTTGCCCAGAACAAGCATTTTAACCGCGCCAAGTTGCTTTTTGACGAGATGCCTGTGCGAGATATAGTGTTAGAAACAACGCTGCTAGCGGAGTACTCGAAACACGGCCACCTTGACGAGGCTGAGAACCTTTTTAACCAGATGAAAGTGTGTGACGTAGCAGCCTGGAACGCTATGATCTCCGCATATGCCCACAGTGGGCACTTTGCGAAAGCGAAACGAATGTTTGATGCTTGTCCAAGGAGAGATCTCTTTTCCTGGAACTCCCTCCTCGCCGCTTACGTTCAAGCAAACCGCCTCGACTTAGCAAAACAAGAATTCGATCGGATGGAACAGAGGGACGTGGTTTCCTGGAGCATCATCCTCACGGCATATGCCCAAAACGGGCGTTTCCTCGAGGACGCAAAATGCGTCTTCGATTCCATGCCGGAGCTGGATCTCGTCTCCTGGAACGCGATGCTCTCCGCCTACGCCGCCGCTGGCTTCCTCGACAACACCACACAGATCTTCTCCTCCATGCCCGAGCACAACATCGTCTCCTGGAACGCCCTCCTGCGAGCCTACGCCCAGAACCGCCACCTCTCCAGCGCGCTCCATCTCTTCCACCGCCAGATGCCGCAGCGCGACGCCATCTCCTGGAGCGCGATGCTCTCCGCCTGCGCGCAAAACGGCGCCCTCCAACGCGCCGAGCTCCTCTTCCACACAATGCCCGAGCGACCCGACATTGCGTGCTGGAACTCGATGCTCGCGGCTTACACGAACCAGGGGCTGTGCCAAAGCGCGCTCCAGATCTTCGACTCCATGGCGGTGGAGAGCGCCGTGGACGAGATCAGCTTCCTGGTGGCGATCATCGCTTGCAACCACGGGGGGAAGCTCGCGGTTGGGAGGAGCGCTTTCATCTCCATGGCATTCGACTATGGCTTGGCGCCAACCAAGCCGTACTACCGTGTCATGGTGGCGCTGCTGGCCAGATCCGGACACGTGGACGACGCACGAGGCCTCATCGCGGGGATGCCGTACGCACCCGACGCGCTCGACTGGAAGTGTTTGCTCGGGGCGTGTACGGAGGCCCGCCATGGAGCGGAGATCGCGAGCAACGTCTTCCACTTCAACCCCGGCGATGGCGGAGCTTATTTGCTCCTCGCCAATATCAACATCCACAATTCATGCTCGCCACCACGATCGAGAGCGTAGAAAATTTTCGCTCCTCTGCGAGAGTATAGTTGCAAGATCAAGCTTGGAAGCTTGGAAGATTGTTTTCTCTCGATGGAGAGAGGCTGGTGGACAAGAATTTTAAAACGTTGCAAGGATCATGGTCGTCTTCTAGACGAGAGCTCCAGATCGAGAGAGTATAGTTGCAAGATCAAGCTTGGAAGATTGTTTTCTTGCGATGGAGAAAGGTGGTGGACAAGAATTTCATGGTTTTTCTTGAGAGCTCGCGGCGGCGGCGGCGACAGCGTGATCTTCCAGCCACGAGTAGAGTTCTCCAAACACCACCTCCAAATTCTCCGGAGGCTCGCCCGCGAGCTGGTGCCACATTCCCTGGTAGATCCTCAGCGTTTTATCCTTGCTGCTGCATCGATCATACAAGGCCTTGCTCCCCTCCGGATCGGTCACCACGTCCAGCTCTCCATGGATCACCAGCAGCGGCAGCGTCACCTCTGGGAACCGCTCGTCCAGCTCTCTCACCACCCTGAGAAGCTCCAGTGCCGTCCCGGCTCTCGGCCTCCCGGAGTAGCGGACCGGGTTCTTCTTGACGAGCTCGCGCTTCCAGGCCTCCTTGAAAGACACGGTGGGGATGTCCTTGGTGGGGACGATCGCCCAAGTCGGAGCTAGCGCCGCCACGTACGAGAGCAAGTTCTCGAGCGGCCATGGCGGCTTGAACTTTGGAGAGATCCCACACATCGCTCCATTCAGCACGGCTCCACTCCAGACCCCCGGCTGGCGGAGATGGATCAAGAGGCACAGTGCGCCACCCAGCGATTCTCCATACAAGAAGGCCGGAAGTCCCTGGAACTCTTGCTGGGATCGCACGGAATCGAAGAATGCGATGCAGTCGTCCACCACCGGATTGATATCTGGGACGTAAGCTCGCAGTCCCTGCCAGTCCTGGGATCGTCCATGGCCCTGGTGATCGATGGCGTGCACGGCGAATCCCCTCTGCGCGATGCCGATAGCTGTGAGCTGCACGAACCAGCCACTGTCGGCGCCATAGCCATGGCAGACCATCACCAGTGCCTTAACTCTCTCCCGCGTTGGCAGCCATGACTGCGTGTACTGCGCCATGCCTCGGGCGTTTGTGATCATCCTCTCGCCGTGCGTGACGCCATGCTTGGCGTAGAAATCCTCTGGGCTCCTCCCGCCAAAGAGGCTGTCGACGGTGGAATCCAGCGACGGATGCGCCATAGCTGTCCCTACGATCGATTCGATCGATTGAAACATCCATAGCTAGAGAAGATCGAAAGATCACGCGCACTCACCTCTCTTGCTCTTGGCGCCTGTTGCCCAGCTCCTCCGCGGCAATCCCTAGAGGCGATCCAACGCTCTATACAAGGACACGTGTGCGCGATCTGAGCCGCCCCATGCCTCCTTCATGACCCACCTGAAAGTAGTTGACCATCTCGGTCAGCGATTTGCTTGACCGGGCAAATTTTTGTGTTTTTTAACAGCGTCGGTGAATGCCGCTGTGAAACCGTCAGTGGCGAGTAAATGTGTGACCAACTTGACTGATCCACAAGAACTAGCTCTTTTGTTTTTGCTTGGTTCCTTCTTTCGGTCCTACACCTCCAATCTTTTAGCTTTGGCATTTTGCTTCCAGCCATGGCTTCTTCTAAAGGTCTATTCCCTGAAAAGCTAGAACAGTGAAAGAAGAATCCCCAGTCACATCTTTCCATCTCTCTCTCTCTCCTCTTTGGTTGGAATTTAGAACTTTAAGTTTTCTAGAGTAGATACTGCTACTCTTGTAGCAATGGAGGCCGGGGTCGTCTAGAGAGAGTATAGACAGTACTTTTGTTCCATGTAAACGAGTACAGTTTTTTCTTCTAAAGCGCACAGCTAAACTGGCTGGCAGCAGCTGGCTCTGCCTACTATCTTTGATTCTTTGATGCGTTTATCAACTGGATTTGTATAGAACTAAAGAAGAAAAAAGAGAAGATCATATCGCTCACTTGGTATCTTCTGCCTTGCTCGTCCTTTGCACGGAGGAGAAAAGCGCTCAGCTGCCCCGCTTGTAAGCTTCCAATCCATCCAGCGCATGAGAAACAGAGGGTCAATGCCGGTCAATGATGGTCGTCGCCGGCATCCTTCTTGTCGACGGGGACGATCTCGGCGGTGGCCAAGCTCGGGTGCGCGTATCCGTACGAGTGGAGCACCTGGTTGTCCGCCAGCGTCAGCGCCCGCGACATCTGTGCCGTACACTCCTCCGCCGTGTAGACGTTGTTGATCTTGCCGCTGCAAATCTGGCACCCGGTGAAGTGCGTGACGAAAGGCCATCGATCGTCGCCAAATCCCGGGTGGCTGCTCTCCACATAGCCTTCATACTTGTCCACGATATCCTTCCAGTATCCATTGAGGAAGTAGGAGTTCTCGAGATAGACCTTGGATCCCCAGGTGTTGCGATCGGCATTGAGGAGATAGATGAAAGCTCCCTGGTCGTCCGACTCGAAGCTCTCGGGCCTGCCGGAGAGAGCCATGGTGAGGACCTTCCCGACTCGATCGCCCACGACGCCGCGGTAGCCCATCGGCGCCAGAGTGTCGAAGAGATCCAGCGTCCACTGGCAATTCCTCACCAGAAAGATGCCCATGTTGAGACCAGTCCACTTACGCTCCCCATAGACGAGGTGCTCCCAGCCATGGATCACCAGGTTGTAGTCCTTGTATCGCTCCGATGGGAACTGGAAGGTCATGTCGGTGAGGACGGCGTCGCTGTCTATCCACCATAGCCACTCCACCTCGGGGTGTGCGAGCATGAAAGATCGAATGAGAGGGAGCTTGACCCACCAGGAGGGCATGTCACGGCTGAAGGTGGCCATGTTGTAGAAGAGCTCCATGTCGTGGATGCGACAGTAGTCGATCTTGTTCTTGACGGCCTTGAGGAGCATATGATCGCCCATGAGATTGTGGCAGGGGCCGGGCTGCGATCCCGTCAGCATGAAAAGCTTGGGCCTGCCCGAGGAATCCACATTGGCGTCGGGATTCTTCTCGAGGAACGCTCGCCGCTGCTCGTCCCAGTCGGAGATCCTGGCGCCCAGGGTGAAGGAGGTGTTGAGCAGCGGATCGATCGACAGCGTCTTGTTGAGCAGGGACTCTATGTCGGTCCTCTCCGGCATGAAATCCTCGGCTCCATGCCCGCCACCATAGTTCTGCCTCGATGATCCATCGACCGAGAGGGTGTGCCTCCCGGCTTCGGTGGCCTTGCTCTTGTCCTCGTGCTGAATGACGTGCTCTTGAGCGGCCTCGAGCAGAGGTGACACGAAGAAGCTCCAAAACAGAAGCAGTGTCAGGATTGCTCCCGTGATCATCGGCACGTACTCGGTCACGCTTCTGTAAACTCCGCTCTTCTGCATATCCCGGCCCAGCGTTTGCACCCACAATCGACACCGCTGCAACGCGCCCTTCCTCCCGTGGTACTTTTGGTTGAAGATCATCGATCGAAGAAGACAAGAGAGAGGAGAAAAGATGGCGATTCTCGAATCTCCCAATCTCCCTGGTGGGCGAGCGCGAATCGCTCGCGAAACTATCTATCAATCTATCTACTGCCAGAGACGAGCGCGATTCTTAAGGCATTCTTGTCAGCAATGCTTCGCCCATGCTCTCTGCAGAGCTCCCCTGTTTTCTATGGCGATATATCTTTGCGCGGGCATTTAATGGAGATCCGAGCCCACGTCAGCGGCCAGAGAAGACGGTGCTGTAAAGCATTTTGCCGGACACACCATGTTGTCGTTGTTTCGTTAGAGAGACAATGGAGAGACCATGTTGTTTTTTTCTCTGGTCAATGGAGGTCAGCGATGGTCATCAAAGAGTCAACGGATAAGATTTCTACCCGGAATTTCGGTGGTCGAGGAACAAACAGTGGTCCAATCTTTTCAGTTGTTGGGGGTATTTTGCAGCAACCACCACTTCATCACATGCCCACCAGAAAGCTTTGAGCAATCGATCAATTCTTTGTGGTCGTTGTTGCCCACTTGATAAAACCACCACACGCTACACACGAAATTAAAAATTCGAGACTTTGGCAAAACTAGAGCGATGGAAACGCAACACCGGCATGTTTTTAAAGCTCTTGCTCGCAATCCTCCAAATTCGTGAGTGTTTCTTCAATTGTGAGATCGACCGGGGACTGGCAAGCTGCGTGGAAGAAATTTATAGTGACAAGGCCCTTCTGTTGGCAGCCAAGTTTCATCCTTCGGGATAGCAAGTCAAGAGTGTCTTCTTTGTTTTGGCTTTCCTTCCTAGTATGAAACATGGGCATCAGATGGAAGGGAAAAATAAAGAACTTGTGTTGCAAGTGTGTCAGTACTTAAGAACTTTGGCATGAGATATGGAATGGAAGGCCATGTTATGACTCGCCTGGCACGCACGCAATCTTCACTGTTCTGTTCATACTCACCTTTTGGTTAAAGTTTCCTGAAAGGTACACAATTCTTTTACTTCCTGGAATCTAGTTTTCATATTGCAGAAGTTCTAAATCTTACAGCTCTCCAACTCCGGCCGTCCTTCCAAGAAGCTCCTCAGTAACTCGTACTGTGTGTTCTCGTCACTGATCATCGTGGCCTGAGCCAGAAACTAGGGAGAGCGGAACTGGCTGGATCCGCCGAAACCTTGCACTCGGAGTTTTTGGATGGGAAAGCGGTGACTTCAACCCCTCCGAAAGAATGAGGCCCATACTTTCAACGTAAGATAAAATAAAAACCCTGCCAGGTATCCTAATCTAGATCTGCATCTGATTCCTTGATCTAGCTTTCCAGCTTTAATTCTCATGCTTCCTGTCCAGATAAAAAAATTCAGTGGCACGTGGTTTCAAGAGGTTTATGACTACTACCCTTGTCAAACTACTATCAACCACAAATTATTTGACAATCACTATTTAAAAAGAAAGAAAATATAAAATAAAAAAACATGTATATGATCGCAACTAACTCTTTTGAAATACTGAAAAATCTTTATAGATATGCTAGAAGATAAGAGCATATGCATATATTAATATAAAAAATATATATAAATAATATTCCCTTGCAAGTGTGTTTCATAAACTAAAATCTATTTATTTAATAAGAGCATGAATAATTTGAATCAAACATTTCAATAAATGGTGCTATTGCATATATATTAAAATGGTTAAAAGAAATTAAAAAAATAGTATTACTATAGAATATCCAAGCATCCCATTTAGGTTCTTAAAGTTTTTTATTGTTTTAATTATCATTAATACTATATGTTAACTGTTTACTACATGAAACCCAAAGAGAAACTGAAAGAAACAAAGTTGTATAGGTTTTATTATTGCAATATGTAATTTAATAATGATGACCTAGTATTGCCAAAGGTAGCTCCCACCTGGTAATAGATATAAAAATGACTAAATAAGTGTTTGAAATATATATTTTAAAAGTATTTTACTCAAAGATTTTTATCATAATATTAGAATATTACTTTTTTTCATTGACATATAAACCATAATTATGTCCTGGTGTTTTTGAAATGCTTTGCCAAAGCTATAGTGCAAAATGAAAACTTACAAGACATTTTCAGGGTATTTTTCATGTTTTTCATGCTAGTGGGTATTCATAGAGTCTCTAATATTAGCACCAGACTTATCTTAAAGTCCTTGAATTAGTGCTTAACATTCTAAACAAGAACAAAGAGATCAATAGAATTTCAAAAAAGTTTATAATATGGATTTTGAATTATAACTACCAATAGAGTCAAATGGAATCTACCTCCTTAGAAAGAAAGTTCTCTGGTGCACTATCTTTTATCAACATAAAGTTACACGATTTTAGCCATGTTTATGCAAACATAATTCTAATACTGATAATATTTTTTATTGATTGAAATTCAACCTTGATAAAAAAAGTGAACCATCATCATCATGAGCAAAATAATAACAGCAAAATCACTATATAATCTATAACTTATATAACAATATAGCGGCGAATCATATATTATAAAATTGCAGACTTAATGTTCATCAATTTGGTTAGCTTAGGGACTGAGTGGATATACCTAGAATATGCTTGGATATTTTAGGATATTCTACCATCTAATGGTTCTTATTCATTTAGATTAATCTTGTATTTATAATTTATAAACTAGTTTAGGGTTTAGGGCTTAGGGTTTCAAATTTAATGTATATAATTTATAAAATTTCTTAAAGACTTTCTAGTATATTCTATTTTACTCTACCATCTAATGGTTGATATGCAATAACATTAATCTTGTGTTTATAAATTACAAACATGCTTATAATTATAAAAATTTTATTTGATCATATAAGTTGGAATAACACTATGATTAAGCAAACTAAGCATTGCTACATCCAATGTGTACAAAATTATTTTTAGTGTAATTATTCAATAGAATTAAAAATTATTTAACTAATTATTAAATATATTTATTAAAATTTTCTTTTGTGACAATTGAGTTTCTTTCTATTTAAAATTTCATATTTTAGATTTCCAAAGAATGCAAAATGTATTTGCATAATAAAATAAATTATTTACCAGCATAAATATAAGTATT